GACACCAAATTTGTTAGAAGCCAACACGTTGAGCAGCAATAATGAATCAGGCAGAGGAATAACTGTTGAGTAGCCACTCTTGTATTTTTACACTGAATAAAAAGAAATGTTCAATTTATACAAAATTATAAAACAATGACCCAAATGACCAGAAAACAAAAAAAATGAGCACACGAAAAATGAAATAAGAGTGTCCGTTGGGGCCCTTCAAAACTGAAAATTGTTGCAGGTGCACCTGATATTAAATGTTCATGGGAATGTAGTGTGAATGTGTGTGAGTGTATACGTGTGTATCTCCTTGTCTGTGTCTTTTCTTCAAAGGTTTTGGCTCGCCATCTGACACAATCAGGATAACGTCCTGGTCCTCGAATCTTCCCGTCCTCTCAAAAACCTGACCTATAAACAAGGTCATATCTATTATACTCTATTCTCAGATGCATCATTAAAGGTTCAAATGTCATAATTCTACATATTGCATCAAACCTCATACATATATCTTAAATCTTAATAAATCTCAAATCTTCAGTTTCAGTTGTACAACATTAAACATTCAAAGATATCAAAGTTCAATATGAGCACTAAACATTCAAGAACTCACGTGTTACTGTTGATATGAACAGTGTTTCAATAATACTTATGGTAAGTAACCATTAACATTCAAAATATATCATATCCATATCAAAACCAGGATAACATAACATGCAATTAAAATAACAGTAAATACGCATACTGAGTTGCTTTCAGAGCTATCAAAGAAGTGTGCTTAATTACTCCTCATACACTGTAGGCCTACTAGTGCGAGAGAAACTGCACCAAAGATTACCCTCCTTGTTACTTTAAACTCACAAATTTACAAAACAAAATGTAACTTCACTCTCATATGACTTATCAAATTACTTCTTATTTTAAATTGGCAATAGCAAAATAAAACAACTTCCCTTTTATATACATCGGCATAAAATAATAGCCACAATATACATGTTCAAAACATTGCATCATTATTCACCTCAGTTCAGTTCACTCCCATAGACATTAGTACCGCCACCGCTTTTGTTAGCACACTGAGAAACAGCACAATAACCCCAGAGCAGCTAAAGGCTGTTATATACTCGCCGTTCCCGACCTGTAGCGAGACAATGTGACGTCACAGGAGCGCCGTAACTATTTATACTTGCGCGTGGTGGTCGCGACACTAGTTGCAGTCTTCTCCTGAACAGAGGTGTCGCAACTGAGGAAAGGCTACCGACTTTGCTATTTCTACCCACTACAAGAAGAAGAAAAAGGTAAACAATTTTTTTGGATTTTCCAAATCGGTCGTGGAGGTTCTTTCATATGGCCTCCTCTTTTCCAACATTCCAATTCTGGCACCTCTGGGCATCTCTGTGTTCCTTCATTGAAGGATCGTACAGATGCCTGTAGAGGCGCACTTGCTCGGAAAGCTTGCCCTCGAACTCGTCCATCTTCCTGTTTCCGCTTTGGCGCGCTCAGCTGAAAACAAAAGAGTGGTGCGCGACCTAAATCCTGGCGCGCCAGCGAGATCTAAGTCATTTTGACGTCACCTTGTCGCGCGAAAGGTCGGGAACGGCGAGTATATAAGAGCCTTAAGAGGGAATCGTTTCTCTCCGTCGCTCTGCGCTTCAAAGCCGAGCACGTTGATGTCAGGGCGCTTGCAGCGGCTCACAAGATGGAAGCTAAGTGGCTAGCCAACGTAACTCATCTCCTTCGTTCAGTCACTCGGCTTCGGACTCCCTGTAAGTAAGTTCACTGGTCTTATCTTTCTCCTACCACGGTTTAACTCCGGGTTTTTCTCTCCTTTTTTTTATCCTTTTAGCAGGTAGCTGCCCTCGTTCTTGCGGCTGAAATCCAAGAGAGCCGGAAAAACAACGCGCCTGCACTTCACCTCCGAGCTGACAAGTTGAACGTGGCCTGCGTAGCCCCTGGTTGGCTGTTGAGGGCTAGGTACCCCCCACGTGGGGTTATGTGAACTGAGTAATGCATTCGAATAGAATAGGACATTTAAAACATTGCCAATGTAAACAAATAAAAATAAAAATAAATATTCTCTTCTAATTGTGTGTTTTTCCACCTGGGCTGCACAGTGGTGGTGAGAAACTAGAAAACACAGCACAGATTGCTTTTAAGCAGCAGGTAATGATGTTCATGCCACTATTTAGCAGGGGAGAAGTTTGCACATGCCATCTGCGCTTTGGAGTGCAATCAATGGAAACAAAGATAAATGAAGAGATATCAAGGAGTGGAATCCTCTAAACAGTTTTCATGGGATGAAATCTGACCAGCAGGACCAGAGCTGACCCTAACTACTGAGGGCTGTTAAAACACCATGACAGATTTACAAAACCCTTCATGGATTTTCACTCCAAAGAAACAAAGGCAGCTGCAGAAAATGACTTTCAGCTCACTCCACTGTCATTAACAGGCTGCAGGATTAAGTTTTTCTGAAAATCCCAGTCTGTTGGACAACTCCTGCACAATAATTGATAAGTAAAGCAGTTACAAAGATAATTTATTTGTTAATCATGTGGCTGATTGATAGCACAAGCCATTTGTTTTATGAAACCAACCATGCATTATGTTAACAAGTGATAACACATACTCGGCTACGTGACAAGACAGGTAGGCTCACAAACCTGAGATGAATAAAGTCTGTCTCCAGAACAGTAAAGTAATCCAGTCTGAAGAATACACACAAGTTGGCTTGTGCATCATTTCATACATTCCGGGCCCTGTTCTTTGTTCGTGGATGTTGACGATTTTACCAGTCAGGATTTTCGCAGCAACCGTAGTTTTTCCGATACACTTCACAGCCCGTTCTTATTCCCAGGTCATCAGGTACAAAGCGAGCGGTATTCAGTTAGTTGCAATCTGGAACTAAATCCTGCACACTGGTCCTTTAAGGCCAAGTTTATTAACAGTTAAGAACACATTTTGTTGTTGCTGTGCACCTGTCTGTCTGTCTGTCTGTCTGTCTGTCTGTCTCTCTCTCTCTCTCTGTCTCTCTCTCTCTCTCTCTCTCACCCCAACTGGTCGAGACAGACGACCACCCACCTAGAGCCGGAGGATCTGTCCTAGGTTTCTGCCTTTTAACAGGCAGTTTTTCCTTGCCCTTGTCGCCAAGGTCTTGCTCATGGTGGTACTGTTGGGTCTCTGTAATTAATGTTATAAGGAGTTTGGTCTAGACCTGCTCTATTTGAAAAGTGTCCTGAGATAACTTCTGTTATGAATTGGCGCTATACAAATAAAATTGAATTGAATTGAATTGAATTGAATTTTCAAGTACAAATGGCTTTGTTTCTTAGATTTAAAATGAAAGTGTTGATATAATTCTGATTTCAGATGATAACATGCAGGTTACTGACAAACTGCTAGCATATGTTGTAGTAGTAATCACAATTTCATATTCAGAGTTACCTATACTGAAGTTTTCTCTGCTAACATGGATCAAAGAAACTGGAACAAAGTGTTGGTCAATGTGGTCCAGGCTTCAGATAACAAAAATCATTATTTTATTGATTTATGTTAAGGCATAAGACTTCCATGGTATACCAGGGACCCATTTTTATGTTTTCACTATCAACTCGTCAAACACTGCAGCCTGGTCAGTGGCCACTGCTTCAAATTATGGCTCCCTCTCGTTTCTGTGTTTATGATTCCACTAATGCCGGCACGTCCCAGCAGCATCTCTCCAATCTGCCACATGGACAGTACGCAATTGGTATATTTTTTGACAGAAACTGAGACCACAAGCACTACAGAGCAGATTAAATTAGCAGGAAATCAGACCTCATAAAGCTGTGCCTTGTGGAATTTTGGCATTATGAACAGGTCTTAAGAACAATGGGCGTGAATTTTTGGAATAACAGGCTGTCAGAAAAATTTGCGATTTGTAAGTCAAAAATGGCAAAACTGTAACTTTAATAATCCTCTTGACATGAGAGAAAATATATTTTGTTTGGAGTTTGGATTTGACTTGATTGTGATAAAAGTATCCAGAAAGATCTGACGGAGCTCCAGACTCATCCTTGTGATAGTTGCATTACTCTAAATGATTTAACTGTTAAACTTCCAGTTTGATGTTACCATTAGATCCTGAACAATCCTGTCACTATGTCGGGAGATTTAAATAATTAATGAAGTTGCCTCTGTTGTTCCATCCGTGAATAAAATTACACACAGCCATCAGATCAGACAGAGTAGATGGCATCATTCTTGCTGCTGTGTGATGACTACAGGTAATCAACTGCAAGGAAAAGACCTGACCCTCTACAAGGTGTTGCCAGTCCACTCATCAAACAGAACATCAGTATTAGCAATAATGCAGAATACTCCTAAATATACTAAATATATTATAGGCAAAAAAATATATTATAGCGAGTGAGCGATGTAAAGTAAGCTCACTAAAGTTACTACTCTGGACCAGATTTGTCCAAATAGGAATATACAATTTTATACAGAGAATTTAGTGCATGGACAGATTTGTTTGCTTTCAACACCAACGCTGCTGGCTTATCTTGATGCTTGATCTGCTGCCAGCGGCTCAAATAATGTTTACGGCACCAGGCCGCATGTGGTTCCTTTGATAGTAAAGCTTTCTGAGCCCTGCGCTAGAAGGTAGAGTTGAGTACCAAAACACAGTGGTGCTAATATGGCACCCATTCGTATATGACCGGTATCTACCGGACTGCATCACCTCGCAAATGTTGGTGCCTTGTTTCGGTGTCTATTGAAATAGTTATCCTCTGGTGCATACGTTACAGGCAACAGAGGCATCACCGCACATGCCCAGCTTGTGAACACATACTTGTGCTTTATACCTTAAAAAATAACCACTTACCGTAGATGAAATGGGAGTTATGTTTCAAAGTTAATTATTTATCAGTGTGTTTGTTATTACTTTAACTCATGGTGAGGTTAGTTCCACCACTGAGTGTTAACTAACTTGTAGAAAGCACGCATGTGGAACTTCTGTAATTCACACTTACCTTGGTATCTGAGCAGGACCGATCCAACCTGAGACCTCTGGCTTTGGAAGCGGATAGAGATCTGATTGCTGTGGCTTCGTACTACCAACCCCCTCATCAGAATGGACTCATTAGCCAGCATGGTGTTCTCCCTGTGGCCCACATCTTCAAACGCCATCTTGTCACCCTCAGACAGATTCACATTCATCACCTGACAGAAAACAGATTTGGGATTAGCCCATTTATTTGTCATGTAAAAACAAAACAACAAAAGATCCAGATTCTGGGCTTCTCTCAGGACCTGACACAGGAGACCAACAATGACACTATTATATAAAAAAAAAGCTGTTGTACCTGCTCTACACAGCAATCACTGAGGGCCATATTTATGAAGAAAATGGCATGCAAATTATTGCAATTATTGTCATTTTAAGACCTTTTTATGCCACTGATATAATGATTAGCATAATAATGCAATTACACCCTTTCAGAGAGCAGTGAACTTTTTTATTTTGTTTTAAATAAGGTCAGACTTGAACCCAGCAAGCAAGCTGCAGCAAGGATTCAGCCTTGGTACATGCCATACCACCAGGTGAGCTACTGGGGCCCTGAGAGCTTTGACCTTTTAATTGTTTCGAATTTTCAGACATTGGAATTGGAATCTGAAAAAAAATGCACCACAGGGTAAACATTTCAGCAAAGATTGCAATTGCAAAATATTAAACAATTTGGCACAGGGAACATAGTAATGGTAGGGAAACCCTGCTTTTTATTCTGATATCGCATTGGATAAAATGTTGGAGATATTCTTATGTCGATATTGTGACAGGTGCTAATTACATATCATATATGTTGTAGGATAAGTCAATAATGTAATTATTGGAACAGGCCTGATCTTGATTTCAAAATGATAACATTGATGGAAACTCCATCCGCTGAAGAAGGCCATTAGAAAAACGTGAAATTTGATAGAGAATTTTTTTTTCCAAGCTACTGTTTCAAGAATGGAATTTAATGCTGAAATTATTTCTAATTATATATTTGTTTTGGTGTTCTTTATACTAACACATTTGTTTGCTCTATTTGAAACTCAGTATATAGTGTGTCAGTATTTTTCACACGTTTACCAGCCACCGTAGTTCCAAGTGTGTAGGTCGTGAAACCCATGTTAAATGTGAATCAATATTATATCACAAAATAAAATACTTATTATTTATAGAAAATATAGAAAATATTAGGGTTGTTAGAAAATATCATATCGCAATATTTTGCTTCGTGATTTGATTCTCAAAAACACTTCATTTTTGTAGAAATAATTTGTATATATATGTTATGTTTATAATATTAGTTTATCTTGTAATTGTATGTCTGAGTAATCACTGCCGCCCCCTCAGCTTTCACATTATCCACACCCGAGTACACTTGTGTCATCTTCTAGGTGGCATTTGTTTTTGTTGTTGCTACCGTGTAGAAAAGCCCACCAATCCCAACCTCCCAATCCAATATATAAGACCACTATTATTCATATTTGATCAAGAATGACCCTCTCGCCTGCTTTCCTACTTTAGCACCCATGGCCGTGAAGTTCAGAGGATGAGATCTGCAGTGTTGTGCATGAATATGCTCATGTTTTTGGTGAACAACTGTTGAGTTACAATTCAATATAAATGACTAACATAATAGAAAGGAGTAAGCATTATAAAGTAGCGCAAGGAAACAATGCCAGGTGGAACAGAAGTTTCACTTTCACTCAAGACCACCTTATCAAGTAGGCTCAGGCACAAATCAAAGAACCACGCCTGGGTGCGGTACACAGCATTCACACTAATCAAAACGAACTAGACCCCGATGGTCCCTGATGTGAAAGCTGGAGTCAAATCCCTTGTCTGCTTGAAAATACTTGACTAATACATTTATACATTATTTTGTGATTTACTAAGGCATTGTGCAGGGAAGAACAGAACACCACAAGTGACCATACCAGAAAGCCCTGCTGTTTACCAGCCATTTAAGATGAGTAGAAAGCTGGTCAAAAACAGAGCCTCTCCCTGCCTGTCACTTCCATGCATAATATGCAAATGATATGTAAATTTCACTATTTACATAATATGTATTTGCAGTCACGGCCATTCACATCAAAATTGCACCCAACTCGCTAACACTTTACAGCAGCAGTTCCCCACATTATTCTGGGTAATTTCAAAAGTGGCATAAAGGCTTTGCACAGAGTTTATCCATTCAGAGTGGCAGCCATTATTGTTGCCACACCGGTGCACCATTCATCAGCCAGTGAGACAGCAAACCAAAAAGACTTTTCCAATTTCAGATCAGTTAATAAAATGCTCCTATTACGAAAGGGCTTCGGGGCACAGGAGCGCCAGCCTTCATGGATTAATTTTACATCTGAAGCTATTTGCACTCACAATTTGTGATGGGGTTATTACTTGCACAGTTCAAGGGCTTGTTTGCACTTAAACTTGCATGAATTTGCTGATGGATTAAAAATGTAAAAATTAAATAAACAGCTCTCTGGTCAAGTGAAGAATGTTGACCTGAGAAATCCTCTGGTTACGTCAACCTCTTTGGTTCAAGCACTGTCTGTGAGAAGTGTAGTGCAGCAAGTGACAAACATTTTATCATTAACAACGTATCAGCATTAGATGCTTTGGAAGTCTGCTTTACATAATGCTCGGGCACGAATCAAAAGTAAGAAATATGGAGGAAGCCAAAAGGACAATGTAGTGCTCAGTGATTACACTGCAGATAGGCCCGATAATTGTCAGCTTGTCTCCTTCGCTGACAGCACGTCTGCTGAGAAATGTTGCTTTTATCAGCTTTTATCACACCAGGTATATCTTTATTCAGGCGTTAAAAGGAAGGAGGCGTCTTGTCTTCATGTGGCCCTCCATAGATCATATCAACTGCCTCCTATCTCACTGAGCTAGGAGAGGAATCCACAGCTCTCCTGAGGAAAGCTGCTGAGGGAGTCTGTGGTGATGTGTACCCACTGACAGGAAACAATTGTCAGTTAACAGTATGTTCATATTATGTGAACCAGACTTCAGACTGTTGTTATGGGTGGAACAACATTGTGAATTCACTGGTGGCAATTTCCCCCCTTGGTTCCCCCATGTAAGAAAAAAACCCTGCAAAAGTGTCCTTGGATATCCCTATGGTAGATAAAACATGATAAAGTGCCCTGTAAGGTGCCCTACCAGTGGCCAAAATGTGATTAAGTGCCCCTTGGGTATGCATTCAGTGGAGAAAACCTGATGAAATGTCCTACAGGGTGCCGCTTCAGTGGACAAATGAAGGTACAGTCCCCGCTAGGGTACCCCTCCAGTGGGTGTGTTCCAGGGGGACAAACATAATGAAATGTTCTGGGAGCCCTTTTAGTGGACAAGACTTGGTAAAGTCCCCTCTAGGGTTCCCTTCAGGGTGCCCTTCCAATGGACAAATTGTGGTCAAGTATTCTAGGGTGCTAAGCCTAACCCTGACTAAGCTGTTTCACCATAACAGCATCAGAACTTTCTGCAAGTTTTGCACAGTCCGCCACTTTTTGAATGTGTAAGTAGATATAAGTAGAATTAAAAAACACAGAGTTGCTGTGATAGACTGTAAAGGACCACTAACTGAACACTGACCTGGGAATGAAAACAGGTTGTGAAGTATGGTGGCAATGAAACTTCAACATGGCAGACTCTACAGAATGTAACCTCCGGCTCATTCTAAAGGAACGAGAACACGAGTCATATTTTCAGCTGATTATACACTAATACATATTCTATTCTATTTCTGACAATGGATCCTCCTAAATGTTACACACTGGACTTTTAAGCTAGCTAATGTCAGAAAATGCTAGCTAACTTGCTAGGTAATCTTGTTTGCTAGCTACAAATAATCCTTTAAGAAGGTGCTTGTCCTGAGCAATAAACTCAGTTGGGATATTATCTAAATAATGGCAAAACTATAATCCATCTCCAAACCCAGTATTGATTTTATTTCTGTTACTATCTGTAGCCAATAGGATTGGATTACTGGACACTTCCAAAATATGTGAAAGTGATCAGCCATTGAATTGTTCCATCGTCTCCAGCAGTGCCCAGAATCTGCTCTACCATTCTGTCAAAATGTACCTCATATGTATCGATAAAACATTGATGAGACTCATTTCAGTTTCCTTGTTCACTTTAATGTTTCTAGAAAAGTGATGTCTCAGCTGTAAATATCTGTTTATCTCAATGTGGGTGTCAGTAAAGTAGCGGAAGCTTTCCAAGTCTGTGTTGGTTGAGCAATATGATGTAAGGCCTTTCTAGATCCATTTATTAAACTTTAAATCCAGCTGAGCAGGTTTAATATCTCTATCATATGCCACCCATCTTAACAGCTGCTCCACTTTTACATTTACCAGTGACACATTTAAAGTAATGGTTCATGTTCCTTTATGGTTCTACAACGTATCTGCTTTCTTTTTAAGTGAGATGAGAAGATACCACGTTCAGAGCTGGTGTCAGGACGTGACTAGCTTAGCTTAGCATAAAGATAGAAGCGGGGGAAACAGCTAGTCTGCAGCCAGGTGCAGTAACTGAGCACAGCTTTCTGCTGTGCAGCTCAGACATCTTGCCAAGAGCAGATGAGGAGTCTTTTGAAGTTCAATTCACTTTTCTGCTAAAATCTAATCTTTAATCTTCATGTTGTGAAACATAAACGTGATCCTGCTAATGATCCACACATACCTACATTTTACAATAAAATATAACCTGAACAATCACATCACATCATATCATGCGATTCACATCCACCTGTATTGTAATAATGTAAGAGCTCTGGGAGGTACTTTGATGTTTACTTTGATGACGTGCACAGCCGTTTCCCTTGGTTCAATTTTGGATGGAGACATCGGGGGAGGGCGGACAGGAATGGACAGGTTCTGAGGGAGTTATCAGCAGAGATAACTGATATGTGTCTCTCCATATACAACCACCTGTAATAATATGACCAAGGTTCCACACTTCGGTGTGCAAGCAAACTGTCAACATGTGCGTGTGAAATCAGAAATCACCCAATTCATTCTTAAAATATGGCTAAAGATCTATTTTGAGGTAACAATGACCATTACTTTTGAATCAAACGTGTCACTAATTCAGTGTCCGGCCAACTGTGTATGTGGTCACAATATGGACACTATGATGTTACAGTGAAGTTGACCTT